CATATGTTAAAAACACATTAGACTACATTAGATTGTTGAACCCTAGCGTATGACTCCTCCTATCCTGCCACACCTTATGTGACTAATTACATCCTCAAGCGTAACCTAAGGAAGGTCCTCTGTCCTGCATGGTTGCTTTCCAGCATCTCTGTTCTTGCACGGAAATAATGACAATAATAACTGTGTTTAGCGCTGGCAAAAAGCTGGAAACAATGAATGCAGCTGCAAAAGCTTGGAAGATAAAAGGAACTTTTAGACGTTTTTGAAACAAGGCTCAAGTTATTTAAATGCAGTGTGATCATGCTGTCACCGAACCCTTGGATCTGAACTTTTCTATGAGTTCACAGCATGGGTTAAACGAACCACCTGAGTCTGAGATACCAGCATGTCTCCTGAAACAAAGTTGGAAAAGTTGACTGTAAATATGCAGAGCACTTTGAGGAAACCTATGAATAGCTGTAACACCTTGATGGTCAAATACACATGCTGTGGCATCCTGAACGAGTTTGCACTGACCACGCAGGTGAAATAATCACAACTACTACATTGGGTTTACAGTAAGGCTGCACAATTCATCAAAATAGTATCCACAATGCAGAAGCTGCAATATTTTTGTTGAAGCCCATCACTTTATAATGAAGTACTGTAGTGCTGCAGAGATGTCCAGGTCTAATAATCTTGTTCTCTCGTCTACAACAAATGTCACATCATGATTTCTTTTTGTCTTTTCGATGAAAATGTAAATTGTGATGCAAAAAATGATAATTCATAGTAATTGTGAATCATATCACAATTGTAACAACAATATGTTTGTTTAATAATATGGTGTGTCAATCTATAAAAAGGCTTCACTCATGCCAACAGGGTTATCCTGAGAAAGACACATCTGTAATAATCCCTACTGACAGTGGTTTAGCCAAGGCTGAGGAACTATTACGATGCAACTTTTTTAAGGAGTTCCCTATTATAGACAGTTACATGGTTGTAGTCAACTATTAACTGAACATGGCGTTAAGGACACATTTGATCATTAAATAAGCAGTCTATACGCAGACTGTGTTTTCACGTTGTCACACTCTGCGTCAGTAACGTAGCTAGGGTTCACTTTATCATTTCTTCCGGAATGCTGTGACTCTATTCAAACAATGTATACCTATTAATTTGTTCACGGGCGTCTCCGCTTACCGAACAGACTAACCCACCAATACCCCGGACAGATGTGATCTGTGCTGTGGACCTAATCCTAATGTAGCCTATTCTGTGACCGGCAGGCTTCATAATGGTACTCCAATGTTGCTGCAGATGGCCGAGTGTTGCTCAAACACTGCGGGCCAGCCCAGCTAGCCAATGAGCTAACGTTAGCTAGCAGCGTTAATGACAGCATTTTCTGTCACACAGAGTCCGGTTAGAGTCAGACGGCTACTCCAACTGGGCTCCTGGGAATTGTAATACTATTATGCAGCTAATATGACATGTTGGGAATTTTATTTCATTAGCAAAATCAAGGAAAAAATACTGTCGGTGGAGTCGGCTTACCTGATCCGGCGGTGGCCGCCATCTTTGTCACTGCTTCACGGAAGCGCGCACGTACGATGTTGACTTGCGCGTGTACGCAGTAATAAAAAACACATTAACGTTATTGGAGCTCTTCTTTTTGATTTTTAACGGCGGCTGGCTCGTTAGTTATTTGTTTTCCATGCTTAATACTTTTATTTCAGTTGCTCCACGATTGTTATTATAAGACTAGCGTTAGTTCCTCATGCACTGTCACTCTCTGTATGCACTGTGACATCGAACTGTGTCGCATTTCCTGTAGTTGTTTATTAACTATCAGTTGGGTTCAAGAAAAAGTGAACACTGCGGGGGCCAAAATGGAAAAGGTGCTATCATTTATTTTCCTATAATATGAGAACGGATGGCACTGACGGGAGGTGAAGTCATGGCCCGCCCTACTCTACCTCTGAATGGAAACCTAACCTGGTCCCTAACCAATCAAACCAATGATATAATAATGATATAACCAATGACAAATAAGGGAAACAAGTAAGAGCCAATCAGATGCAGAGTAGGGCGGGCCATGCCTTTGCCAGCCTGGGAACATTTAAATAGTACGGGTCGCCATCTACTGGACAATACAGGTATTGTCAGAGCACAACCACCATAGGTTCATATTTGTTCAGTCAGTAGTCAATGTTGTCTATATGAACAATGAAACAGGTTCCGCTCTGTAAACATTCTTTGTGTTCACTCTGACCATAAAAATGTGAACTTATCCTTTAATGAGCCTAGTAGGCTACCTCACTAATTATCTAAACGCAGATTTTGCGTAT